TCTTCTTCTTCTTCTTCTTCTTCTTCTTCTTCTTCTTCTTCTTCTTCTTCTTCTTCTTCTTCTTCTTCTTTTTCTTCTTTGTCTTCTAATCCTCCTTTTGTCCGTCTTCTTCTTCCCTACATATGCCCAACTGATCTCAAGACGAGGGCACAGAGCTTTTACTTCACTATGTTTTTAGGGGGGAATATGACAGGTGTTTCATCTTGTTAATCTCTAGAAGTAATACAGGCTAGATCCTGTACGGCCATCGCTTGCTTGCCCTCTCCTTACCCTGTCTCTCCCACGACCACTACTTCCATGTGTCGGGCGCTGGTGACAGCTCAGTACAGTAATGATGGATTGAGCTTTGGGCCTTCGCTATAGCCGAGTAGAAAAGCGAAACTTAGTAACTCAAGGTCATCTGTTTTTGCAGCAGAAAATGGATAATTTCTTCTCATAGTCCATGCCGTGTGGCGTTGGTAATCATGGAAATCAAATTGTACTATCAGTTCTGGCACTATCAGTTCTGGCTCAGACGATCTTCCATATCACGACATCGTTCCGCCAACTTCTTCGCTCTCTGTCTCCCTCTGTCTCTTTTCCCCTCCAACATTCTCATTGTCATGGCCTACTTCAGTTTTGTCCTTCTTCCGACAAAACCAAAGAATGTATTAAGAAAAGATATAAAAGCGAACGAAAAGTATATTAGCAAGCTTTACAATATTACAAATACAAACAAAACGGGAACGTTGCGGCTATGGAACCTTCATCAGCACATACAAATCAAACAATATTACACAAATGCACAAAATCACTTGGCTGGTATCTCGAAGCAGCCGGGTCGATGGATTCTCAGCAGAGAGAATAGAAGAATATAGATCGTCTTCTTCTAATGTGATCAGTCAGTTTTCTTAATGAGTCACTGACTTTCAAAATATCTTCAATGCTTTTTTTTTTTTTTTTTAATCTGTCCAGTGTATTCTTGTCATTTGTCTATAAAACCGCATCTTCACTGATTCCAATTAGTGTTTCACCTATCATCAATGTGTCTATGAGTTAATTTCTTTAATCATAATAAAATGTATTTAGTTCTTGAGAATTACATATAATATTCTTCATTTTGTAAAATGCTGTCACGGAGTGTGTTAAATCTTCAAATTAAGGGTAATTTAACTTATGCTAAAATCACGTGTTTGATAATCCTGAAATACCCAGTATCTATTCAGCTCCAGAGGGTTTGGCTGCAGAGCGCTTTGTGTTGGGTACCCACTCAGCTGCCTCACAAGCTTTCCAGACAAACGCTCAAAGTGTTTAATTCTAATTTAAAAGCATAATAATAATAATGTTTTAAATGGGGAAACATGTAACAATATCCTTTCAAATAATATTAAATGTTTAAACAAATTATAAATGCTTCCATTTTGACTTTTTATACAAGTACCTATTGTTGTATCTATAACCAGTTTTAAGGCGAACTTAATTTATTCTTAAAATGTAAATGCTGAATTTAGTCCACTGTAGCAGATGCAATCTTTAATGTGATCCACAGAGAACTGTTGCAATTTTTGCTCATTTTGTCTAACAAGCAACTTCATCGCGTCCAAATGAAGTTGCAAATAAACAGTTTCAAGCTTTGTCTTTCACAGATCATACCCAGATATTGCCAGATTGCATTTCATTACTTCAACCTTTGTAGCACACAACAACGCACCATGCCTGACTGAATCAACGCATGTGTACCAGTCAAAACAATATTAGGCTTGTATATTTTATGTTTAGTCAGGACATAGTGAAACACTCAACAACAGGATGACTCTTCCAAGGGTTGTTTGTTTAGCTCCTCGGGGTGTAGAATACCTATGGTTGTGTTTCTGTTACTATTGCCTCTTTTGGTCATCGGCTATGAGTTTCTGGCACTGAAAGAATTTTAAAAAGTTTTCTCATTTT